GGATGAGATGTCACTTCGAAGATTAGGTTACGGAGAGACTGTGTCATGTGTCTTGCACAGCCTTGCTTGCTTGCTTGGATGGAACTTGAGGACTATGACATGAGCTGTTCCACGCAGAGATCCATTGTGATTCCAGGCACAAACAGTACAACCAAGAAAAAAAAAAAAAAAAAAAAAAAAAAAACTTGCGCTATAACACCATCTACTGGGAAACAAAAGAAAGTGCCCTATCTATAAACTTGCTACATTGTTGAGAGCAAAACAGTATCTAAACAAGAAAAAAAAAATCATTAACTCAAATGTGCAGGCACAGAAACAATCCATCAGATACCATGAACAACCAAGGTCATTTGGGAGCACAGGAAGAAAAGGAAAAGTCTCCAGCAATCAAAGTCCTGGAATATTATGATTTAGATGACAGAGAATTCAAAATTGCAATTATGGAGAGGTTCAATGATATATAAGAGAACTCAGATGGGCAGCTCAAATAGCTCAGAAATTGTTTATGAACAAAAGGATTACTTTTCCAAGAGACTGAAAATGTAAAAAATAATTAAATCCTGGAGTTTAAGAACTCATTAAATGAAATGAGAAATGCATTAGAGAGCACTGGAAATAGAGCAGACTAGAAGTAATTAGTGAGCTCTAAGAACAAAACCTAGAGGAAGAAGAAAGTTAAGCAAAAAATAGGAAGTGAGTTAAGAAAAATAAAAGAAAGACTTCTTCTGAGAGCTCTCTGACTCTATTAAAATCAGCAACATAAGGATAAGGGTCTATCAGAAGAAGAGAGAGAGGAAAGGAACAGGAAACTTATGAGAACTTCCCACTCCCATGGAAAGACTGGACTTTAGAGGAAGCTAACTGGACATCTAATTTCAACCCAAAAAGACTTTCCCCAAGACACATTTTATTCAAACTGTCAAAAATTAATGTCAAAAAATTCTCAAGGCAGCCTCAGGGTGAGGGTGGGAGGATTGTAACCTACAAAGGAAGCCCTGTTAGATTCTCATCAGATTTTTCAATATAAACATCACAACCCAAAAGAGAGTGGAAGAAAATATTCAAACTCTTAAAGGAGAGGAGCCATCAGCCACGGGTAATATATCCAGCAAAGTTACCCTTTATATATGGAGAAATAAAGGTTTTCCCAGACAAACAAAAGCTGAGAAAACTTACCACCATAAGACCTGCACTATGAGAAATATTGGAAGGAGCTGATATACCAGAAACAAAAAGTATATAATACTTTGAATACCATGACTGACAGAAGCAGGAAATTACAACTCTATTTCAGAAGGTTTTAAACAATTATAAAGGTTAAAGGCGGGGAAATGTATTAAAAATAACTATAATTACAGTCCTGGCCAGTGTTATTCAGTTGGTTGGGTGTCGTCTGTTCAGTTCTTTTATTAGAGCACATGACGCAGTTGCGGGCTGGATCCCTGGTAGGAGGTATGCAGGTAGGAGGTATGCAGGTAGGAGGTATGCAGGTAGGAGGTATGTAGGAGGCAGCCAGTGGATGTTTTACTCTCATATAAATGTTTCTCTCTCTCACTCTCCCTTCCTCTCTCTCTAAAACAGAATAGAAATATTAAAAAACAAACAAACAAAAAAAAACTACAGCCATTTGGTTGTGAATGTACAATATAAAAAAGAGAATTTATGTTAACAAAATTATAAAAGAGGAGGCAGTAAAAGACTGGTCAGGTACAGTTGAATGAAGATAAAAGACAATCAGAAGAGAAAGGACTATTTGTGTGTCTGAAACATTTACACATATGCAGTGGCAATCACAAAACAAAATCCAGAGCTGAGACATGAAATGTACAAAAAGTAACATGAAAGACTGGGCAGAAATTGTTTACAGAGGTATAGAAAAATGTCTGCTAGCTCCTTTCCTATTTGAAGGTATTCTTTAATATATTAGTTCATTCAGAGCTATATTACTCATCAATGGTTCTTGAGTTTTCAGATACTTAAATTATGCAAATGTTTATAGTATTTTTAGACTACCTATTAAGCTTCATATAAAATATCTGCAAAGGCTCTTTTTCCTTCTTTTTAATCCTTACCTGAGGATATTCCTCCAATGATTTCTAGAGAGAGTGGAAGGGTGGGTGAAGGGGAAGAAAGAAAGATGAATGTGACAGAGACACCTTGATTGGTTGCCTCCTGCATGTAACTGGGAAATATGCCCTTTACCAGGAATTGAACTCGGTCCACAGGCTGATGCTTTAATCATTGAGAAAACTGCCCAAGACTCTGCAAAAGTTCTTTTATCTTTGCTATGAATTCTAGCAATAACCACTCATTGAATTATAAACATAATACGGGGGTGGGGATGGGGAGAGATTAACCAAATAATATATAATCATATATGCATAACTCACGAACACTGACAATAGTGTGGTGAAGGCCTGCTGGGAGATAGTCAATGGAGAAAAAAGGGGACATCTGTAATACTTTCAATAATTAAAGATAAATTAAAAAAATCCTATATAATAAAAGCCTAGATGACATTGTGCGACATCATCACAAGATGGCTGCCACAAGATGGCTGGCAAGGGAGGGCAGTTTTGGGTGATCAGGCTGGCAGGGGAGGGCATTTGTGGGTGATCAGGCCAGCAGGGGAGGGCAGTTGGGGTGATCGGGCTGTCAGGGAAGCAACCAGGTGACAATCAGGCTGGCAGGGAAGCAGTTAAGAGCTAGCAGTCCCAGATTGTGAGAGGGATCCCAGATTGGCTAGGGTGCAGGCTGGGCTGAGGGACAACCCCACCCCACCCCCCTGCATGAATTTCGTACACTGGGCCTCTAGTACAGTCTTGGGGGTATAAAATCATCCCTGCTTGCTGAAAGCAAGTGTTAGCATAGGGGAAGAGCTACAACTTGGAGACTTAACAAAAGCTATTTTCTGCACACTTTTTTTATAGACAGTAGTTAACCCAGGGAATGCTGTTATGAGGTAGTTCAGCATCATTTCCCCCTAATTTAATAGTAATAGAGAATGAAATGAGGTTGTTCAACTAAGCTTGTAGGAAAATCAAGTCCCCATCCCTAAGTGATTTTTGGATTCTCTGTGTGATGAATTTGCTGACTCTCTTTGGTGCCCTCCCTTTAGGCACAGGGATAATTTTCACTGACACAAAAAGCAGTGCTGATTGTGATCTTGCAAGTGCCGTGCCATTCTCAATCATTCTCCTCGGCTGAGCTTTTGTCAAAGACCACACAGGCTACTTTGTTTTAAACCCCTCTGAGGATATTATGACTTCCTCTTCTATCTTCACACAGAAATGCAGTGTTTGGGCAAGAAAGGGGAAAGTAAAGTAAGGGGCATGAAAGAGTGTTCAAGGGACAGCAAGGATAGCAAGGACTGGGGGCACTTAATCAAGGCCCTGAGAATGGTTCTTCACAGAGATGCTCATTACTTTAGCTAAAAGCACAGTGAAATTCCAGATCCTTGGCCAAATCCTAGTCTGACCCAGTGTAAAATGGCATGCTAAAGCAAAATACATTTCCTCCCAACTAATTTGCTGTTAAATATTACTCATGCCATTGGTGTGGACGTTAAGGCCAAACTACAATATGCTTTACATTTCCAATGTAGAAAGTTTATTTCCTGAATCCTGGTCCTGAAGATGGCAAATCTAAGTAATAAAGAAATATCTCATTTATTGGAATAGACTGAGCAACTAATTGAAGTGGTATTTGAATGATGGGAGGAAAAATACTACATCAGAATTATTGTAAGAACTTTAGAATATGCTTTGACATGTTAAGTTAAAATTTAGTAAAAAGCATCTCAGTTTAACAACTTTGGTCTTCTACTTGAGGGTAAGCAAGGAGAGGAAATATGTAGACTATGTTAGGAATGTGTCCGATTCCTAATTAGGTTCTTTCTTCCACAGCAACGTATACTACTATATTTATGTAAAATTCTAGTACTGTGTAGACCAAAATATTACACCTACATAATAGAAATAAAGTTAATACCTCAATCAATGAGCCAGTACATCTAATGCTGCAGAATGTGAAATTTTGCTGCATCACTCAGCACTGTTTTTCAGGTTTATTTTTCTTTCACATAATGCATTTATTTCCCTTTGATTTAACCGTGGGTATTTTAAAACAAGATATTTCATGTGTTAACTTCAATCCTCAATAGCTTCAGATTCATTCTATTAGTTAAAATAAATTCAGGCAGACATTAATCCAATTTGAATAACTACATATGAATGAGGCTACATAAGGCACTATCTAATCCAAACTGTAACTCAATTTCATTTAAGGCTTCTGATGCACGAATACAAAAATACTTTATTTTTAGGATGCTTTCATTTTTGAGGTACTCTCCTGAAAGGGATGCCAAGAAGTATTCAATAAGAGAGATTTCAGACTTTCTGCTGGGCTATGATTTGAGGAGGAGAGGAGGGGAAATGACTAGTGATGATTCCATACTGGAAATCCTGTGGAAATATGTGAAAGTATAAATTAACTACAATGGACTTGTTGTTCCCTGAATCTTTTGGTGTGGAATTGTACATTGTTGTTATTTTCAAAAGCTATTCTGCTTTTATTACTATGTATTAAAGCCACCAGCAGTCACGGAGCACTTACTGTATTACTTATTATGATGTCCAGTTAATTTGTCCCTGACAAAGCCCAGGTGACCTCATCTCTTTCTCTGCACATGTAGGTGCATATTTGGAGCTGTGTGCACGTTCTGGGTTAGTTTGCTTTGAAGCAGCCTGGAGGAGTCTCATCCAGTTTTTAGCGGTTGGCTGGTTTTATAAAGCATCTCAGCACTCCCGGGTCTGCCAGAAGCAGTTCTTTGAAGTTTCATTTTCTTGACGGATATTGCTTTGCTCATCCGGTGAAGACACTGGGGTATAAAAACAGAGTTTCTAACAGTTCTGCCGAAACTGCACTTTGGTCTCTAGAGGTCCTTGTCCTTAGGAATTGAACCAGTCACCCGGCCTGCATCCTTCATGACTGAGGTTAGCTCAAAACAGGAATGGCAGGAAAGCTTTCCTATGCTTCGGGTAGGAGGCAAATTTGCTTCTGTAAAACTTGTGGCTGAGGAAAGCAGCCAGGGCCTGGTTGAAGAAGACGTATGTGACCACGAGCCACCAAGTTATGTTGTGGAATCCCAAGGTGACGGCCATGGAGATGTAGATCATCAGCTCTGCTAAGTAGTTAGGGGAAGAAACATGCTCAAACCAGTCTCCGAAGGGGATTCGGTGGTTACAGTGAATGATCACTCCTGAAATGAAAAAAGGAAACTTCCTGAATGTCTGAAGCCATGAAAAGTAAGTTTTACTATATCACCCCCCCCAACCCAAATCATTTACAAAAACTCCTATTAGAAAAGAATATGATAGACCGGTGTGCAAACCACCCTCCTGTCACACTTCCATTGTCAATCTACTATGTATTAAAGCTACATGCTCAGGTCACACTATCAACTGTAAATGAGCACAGGCCTAACGATCCTCCATGCTGGAAATTAAGAACTCAGACTCCAAAAAGCCTAGAGAAAGATCCTCTCTTCTCCTGCCTATCAGCCGTTATGTCAGTAGCCTGGGCAGAGCCCTCGGAGCTGTCCTCTCACGAGGAGGAGCTGGTGGTGGGGGTGCATGCCTGCACCTGGCAGCCTTTACCCAGTTCAGTGTCCAGCGGGCCAGACTGTAGATGTCTCCTTGGGGCCCTGCACAGAGTATGACCTGCTGCAGCGGAGTCATGGCGGGACAGGCATTCAGAGAGTTTCTTCCCCGCTCTGACCCAGGGTTAGCTGAAAGGAGTGCTGCAGAAACTGTAACCGAAGGAGGCGTTATGCTTCCAGAAAAATCTCAAGGAAAAGCAATGCAAGCAACAGCAGTGGCTGTTGGATCAGGTTCTAAAAAAAAGGGTGGAGAGATTCGACCAGTTTGTGTCAAAATTGGAGATAAAGTTCTTCCCAAATGGGGAGGCATCAAGCTATTTCTAAACAAGAAGGATTATTTCTTATTTAGAGATGGTAACATTCTTGAAAAGTACACAGACTGAAATAAATCACTTGAAATAGTATCATGTGAAGCTGCCCATTTCACCGACGTTCTGAAATATTTCATCACGTAAATAATTTCTGTATCACTTTTATAATTAACTAATGATATCCAAAGTAATCGCATGCAGTGTCTCTTAAAATTTAGTTGCACTGTAATGGCATAAACATTAAAAAAAAAAAAAAAGGGCTCAGACTCCAGAGTGAGACTACACAAGTCCAAACACTGGCTCTACACCTACTGGCTGTTACCACTGGCCACCAAACTATGTTATGGAATCCCAAGGAGGTGGCCAGGGGGACTTTAGATAAGTTGTTTAACCTCTCTGTGTCCCAGTTTCCTCATCTGTAAAACGAAGATAAGACTGTACCCACCTCAAGTGAGCATTTGTGAAGCTGTATGTAAAACACTCCACGTAGGGCCCAGCACAAAATAAGCACTAGGTAATTGCTGAATAATACTATTCCATTTTTAGTATTTCAAAAAGCCTAATAAAAACTGTTCCTGTGATAAGTCAACACAAGCTAATAAACAAGTCAAGTTTTTTTGGCTGGAATGATACTAACACGGCATGGTCATACTAGTGCTCACATTCTGGTCAGACACATATATGCAGGCCCCAAATTGCAGGCACAGAATCTATAATAATAAAAGTATATGTTAATTAGACCAACAGCGGAATGACTATCTGGACATCCTTCCGGATGAAGCTGCCGCAGTGGGGTCTAAGCAGAGGAGGTCAGGGGCAATCAGGCAGGTAGGCAGAGTGGTTAGGGGTGATCAGGCAGACAGGCAGAGTAGTTAGAAGCAATCAGGCAGGCAGGTGAGTGGTTAAGGGTGACGAGGCAAATAGGCAGAGGTGGTTAGGGGTGATCAGGCAGAGGGGTTAGGGGCAATGAGGCAGGCAGGCAGAGTGGGTTAGAGGCGATGAGGCAGGCAGATAGGCAAGCAGTTAGGAGGCAGTGGTCCCAGATTGCAAGACAGTGCAGAGCAGGCTGAGGGACCACCCCCCGCCCCCAGGCACAAACTTCATGCACCAGCCCTCTCGAAGAATCATAAATACTATGACTAGTGGGGCCAGAGAGAGCTCTCAGTCTAATGCTTTCATTTCACAGATGGGAAGATCAAGACCCAGAATGAATATTTGATCCATTAGTCACCTAATTAGGGCAGGAAGGAAAAGGAAGAAAGTACATGGACAATTAATTTCTGAGTGTTAAAATCCACATAAAAAGATGTCTTACCGGCTTTATTTTTCCTGAGATTGCCGAGAATGACATGGCACTTATACTGATGGACCGATGACCAGATGAACATCATCATACCGAGGATATGGAACCACCGAGTTTGCATCAAGAGATTTTTCCCTACCACATAGACTGCAGAAATAAGGATTGTGTTAATAGCCAATGCCGCAAAATTTCAGAGGCTCGGGGAATTGAAAAATCACACTGTCAGCAGAACACATTCATCCACTTATTCTGTTCCTCACGGCTATAAAATTATGTGATAGGATTTCCCAAGTACAGGAGGAAGAACACCAAAACAGCCTTGTTCCTCAGCCAGAGGCAGTTTCAATGGCACCTGGCAGAAAATTCCGTAGCAATACATCCTCTTGTTCCTTCTTCAAATGCTTTAAGCACAGAGTTCAGCTCTATTTCCTACTCTTGTGATGTACTCTCATGTGGTGAGACAGCCCTGCTAATTTCTAAGCCTGGATTTATGCCCTCTTTCTTATATTCTACTGTCAGAAAAACTCTGAAACCTCTCCTGAGCTACTCTCCTAAGCCCTGAGGGAGACCCTGAAGGCAGAATGCTGACTTGATGGGCTCAGTCAATCAATAAAACGACTGCAAGTGAAGGCTAAGGCAGATAGGCAAGCAGTAAGGAGGCAGTGGTCCCAAGATGGAAAACAAAACAGAATCCCCTTCTGATTAGACAGAACCTCGTCAGAGAGACTTCGTTTTAGGAAAAGAAATACTCCAAGTATTATCTTCTTTCTTCTCCAGCTATGTGGAAGAAGAGGAGAATGTAGATCTCTTAAATACTGATATCAGAAAAACAAATTAAGGACTTCCCTACGATCAGCAGGAAGCAGTCTAGCTGGTCAGGGACTTGGCTCAACGAAGTTGTCCATTGATAACAGGGACCAATCTGCCTGACTCTCTGAGGCCAAGAGGTAGGAGAAGCAAGGGTCATGCTGCTCCATGTGGGTACCTAGAAGTAGGACCCAGAGATGGCAGCTAATGACCAATGAAAGTCCACCAAAGTCTGCCTGTGTTGATTTCTTTCTTATTTTAAATATATTTTATTGATTTTTTTTTTTTTTTTTACAGGGAGGGAGCGGGATAGAGAGTTAGAAACATCGATGGGAGAGAAACATCGACTGGGGATGTGCCCGCAACCAAGGTACACGCCCTTGACTGGAATCGAACCTAGGACCTTTGAGTCCATAGGCTGATGCTCTGTCCACTGAGCCAACGGTTAAGGCTGATTCCTTCCTTCCTTCCTTCCTTCCTTCCTTCCTTCCTTCCTTCCTTCCTTCCTTCCTTCCTTCCTTCCTTCCTCCCTCCCTCCCTCCCTCCCTCCCTCCCTCCCTCCCTCCCTCCCTCCCTCCCTCCCTCCCTCCCTCCCTCGTTCCCTCCCTTCCTTCCTTCCACTGAGCCAAACAGTTAGGGCTGACTCCTTCCTCCCTCCCTCCCTCCCTTCCTCCCTCCCACCCTCCCTCCCTCCCTTCCTTCCTTCCTTTTAAAATATATTTTATTGATTTTTTTACAGGGAGAAAGGGAGAGGGATAAAGAATTAGAAACATCGATGTGAAAGAGAAACATCGACCAGTTGCCTCCGGCACACCCGCCACTGGGGATGTGCCTGCAACCAAGGTACACACCCTTGACCGGAATTGAGTCCGCAGACTGATGCTCTATCCACCGAGAGAAACCGGTTAGGGCTGATTTCTTTTTAAACCTTGCTTCTACACAGTCTACTTAGAGTCTCTTAATATTCACTAGGTTTAGCCATATAACTGAAAAAAAGTTATCTTTTTATAAGTGAAAAGTAAGCAAAATATGAAAAATTCAGTTTTTAATCAAAAGGGCTTTAAGAACAAGTCACTATAGAATTAAACGTTGAAGCAAGTGTCTGGGAATTCATATCACTACCCAGTCACCTACTCTAAATGCAGAGAAACTGCCTGTGAGGGAAAAGAGATTTGTAAGAGTAAGCTGGAATTATCATGCAGGAAAGGGGAAGCAGGTAGAAGGCTCATATTTACTGAGCATCTTATCTTGCAGAACGTAATCATTCTTTTATTTATTAGTTGCTTGATGAGTGTTGATTGAGCCTGGATCTGTTGTAGATGTGAGACATAAAACAGTGAATACATCAGGCAAGATCCCAGTCCTTATAGATTCACATTCCAGCGGCAGCTGCCACTAGAATCGAGTAAACAAATCAACAGCCCAGGTAATTTCAGCTCGAAGAAAAGAAAATAACTGTGTGATGGAGAGTGACTGGGGGAAATTCTCTAGACTTGAAGACAAGGAGGTGTGGAGAGTGTAGATCGGGTAGTTTAGAGACATTCTTTCTTTTCACTTTCACACCAACCCTCCAAAATCTGTAAATATCCTTGATTACAGACGAAGGTTCGAGGCTAAGAGGAGTTCAATAACCCAGGTTCAGATTCAGGGTCCATCTAACCCCAAGCCCATTTCTATTGGACCCCGCAGCTGACAAACACCCCGGTATATTCTCTCTCAATGAATTCCTGAAATCAGTTCTCCCCATAGTGTCCCATACGAAGGACGACAGATGAAATAGATGACTGCTGCAGAAGGGAGTACCAGGAAAGCTTTTTGTGGGTGCCACGGCTGCCTTCATCTGTTACACAGGAGGGAGGGCAGAAGGTGGGGCCCAGCCAGCAGAGAAAACTCCAGAAGAGACAGGAGATGCCAAATGGAAACTGAGAGACTGAAAGCCGGCGAGTTACCGAAGTCCTTAGGCGAGTTCCTTGGGGTGGGAAACCCATACTGTACACCAAGAACGACAGCCCAATCCTTGAGATACTGGGCTGCACAAGAATACCCACAACAGGAAGCTCAGGGAGGAAGAACATACTTCAGTTCGGAGGACTTAGATGGAGAGACGCTCGCTGAGTAGCTGAAGCCAATACTTAATTCATGACTTGAGAAACAGCATCAATAAGATGTACTTGAAAACCATGCTCAAGCCATAGAGGCCTTGACTTGCACTCCAGCGAGACAGAGGGACACGCCGATACAGAAATCAAACCTGAGGAGACAGCTCCCTCCCTGAGGCCTGGAAACGCCTAGATCTTGGTCTCAGTTTACGAGGAGGAATGTATGAAAACTTGGACCGAGAGACAACAGTCATACGTGATCTACCTTACGGTGCCTGGGCTGTAAAAATTCATTTCAGTGCCCACAGATAACTCGATTCTTTATAGTAAGCACGTACTGTTTTCACAAAAATGACCGTCATGTAGGTTCGCTATTCACCTCCTCCCCACAAAATAAAACCCGCTTCATTTCCTCCTCATAAACAACAGTCATGGTTTTGGTTCCCTCTTCCTGGTTAGTGAGAGGTCAGACTTGTTGAGACACAGTTGTGATTTAGCACAGCACTCCTCTGACCTCGCCCCACGGCGGCCCCTTTTACAGAAAAGCTGTGCGTGAGGGCCCAGCCCCAAGACCTCCGGCCAAAGAAACCGCCCCCTGCTCCCTCTTCACATCACGCCTGTCCACCCGGAGTCAGGCCACCCGCTCCTCCTCTGGTTTCCTAGGGTGAAATCCTGCGCCACAGCTTCCCCTTCCCCAGCCTCAGCCCTTACCGTTCCACACTGACAGGGAGGCTGAGGCTCTGGGGAAGCGCCTGTCTTTGCTGACCCTCTCTCCTGTTTGTGGGTGGTCCTGCTCCCTCTTCATCTCTGGATCACATTCCTCCTCTCTCTCCAGACTTACTCCACCTGAGCCCACCGCCTCACGCCCACTGAGGGAAGCCTCACGCCCATTTCTTCTGACCCTCCCGAAGACTGTGCCCTTTCCCGTCTTTCCTGAAGACATTATGGATGGGGCAGGTCTCCTGCTCCCCGCCTCTATGGTGCCCGAAGAGTACCCCGGTGACTCAGGTAACAGTCATGCAGGAAAGGGGAAGGCATAAAACTGAATACATTATGGAAAGGGGAGCCATAAAACAGCGAATACATCAGGGACCACTCACCATTCCTGCCGTCCATCGGCACCTGGCTCAGCACGGTTAGGCCGACGAGGACATAGTAGACGAGTCCAAAGCAGTACTGCACGATGTGAATCACGGCGTTGGAAAAGACACTGACGTAGAGGCACTCGAAGAGTCTCCGCAGGCTGTGCAGCCACAGAAACACCAGGACTAAGAACGCGGACAGCGCCAACTCACCCCCTACAATTCGGAGAGCAATGCGTTCAGCACTTCTCTTTGCGGAGTTAATCCAGTATTATGTTTTCCTACGGTTACACCCAGTGTTACACAAAAGCAGAGCTAGGAAAGGGCCTAGAAATCAGCCAGGCTAACACTTCCCTCCTTTTTTTAGCATTGGGGAAGTGGGCCATGTGAAGTCAAAATATTCGGCTCACGGTCACACAGTAAACGAGGGACAGAGCTGGGCAAACTCGGGTCTCTTGGCTCAGCTCCATCCTGGCAAAGCCTTTGAGATGGCATGGACCTCACCGTGAAGGGCCTGTGCTCAGAAACAGGGTCTGTGGGTCTCGGTCCCGGGCACTAACAGTAATGAAGATAGGAAGAGTTCCTGGGTGACCTCCGAGCAACCCCACCACGTGGGACCCCTGGGGTTCTGGGAGGCAAGAGACACAGGCACCCGAAGAGGCAGAAAGGAGGACAGAAACCGAGACAGGAAGAATTACATGTTCCTTTCCATATTAAAAAAAAAAAAAAAAAGGAAATTATACTTTTAGGAGACTGTAGTCGCTGAGATCTATCTTCCTACCTGCCTTTCACTCTACCCCAAAAGAAGTCAGAAGAAATGCTGTGTGTTTTTTTTTTTAAGACTTTCTTTCATGCTTTTTTGTTTGTTTGTTTTAATATATTTTATTGAATTTTTACAGAGAGGAAGAGAGAGGGATAGAGTTAGAAACATCAATCAGCTGCCTCCTGCACACCCCCCACAGGATGTGCCCACAACTAAGGCACATGCCCTTGACCGGAATCGAATCTGGGACCTTTCAATCCGCAGGCCGATGCTCTATCCACTAAGCCAAACAGGTTTTGGCTGGTTTTAAAAATGACATAAACCCAGCCGTTGTGGCTCAGTGGTTGAGTGTCAACCTATGAACCAGGAGGTCACGGTTTGATTTCTGGTCAGAGCACATGTCCAGGTTGAGGGCTCGATCCCCAGTTGGGGGCGTGTAGAAGGCAGCCGAACAATGATTCTCTCTCCTCATTGATGTTTCTCTCTCTCTCTCTCTCTCTCTCTCTCTCTCTCTCTCTCTCTGAAATCAATAAAAATATGTTTTAAAAATATTGTCAGAAAAACAAAATGAGATGAGTTTGAATGTGTGAAGTGGGATCCAGTGAGGTATGCTCCCCTCCCAGATAGAATCCGCATGTGCTTTTCCTTCTGACCGTCATCTTTTGCAACAAGTTGCTCTGGTTACACAGAGAGGGATTGTTCCTGGGGAGCCAGGGGCGTGGCTGCTGAGCAGAGAGAGAAGGCACCAGGAAAATGTTTCTAAGTCTGCCCCTCCCCCTCTGCCTGTCCATCCCTCCCTCCGCCTGACATCTTTATCTGAGGCAAATTTAGTGTCTGTTTTGTAATCCTTTGGTCAATACCTATTCACAGTCAATGTTTATCAGGAAACCAAAGCCTTATGCTATAGCATTTGTAACCGGTGATCAAATCTTTTAGCACGTTTCTGGAGTTCCGGGACATGGTTTTGGTTGAATGGGACACGTGATAAATGTTTCCAGGCAAACACAAGGGAATCCTTAAAAGCTTTTCTCCCAAGTCTAAAGACGTCTATGTAAATTTGCCAACAGGACAAACAGTATGAGAGGGAGAGCAGCCAGCAGTGGCTGTGGAGTCAGGGATGAAGCGCTAACTCTCAGCTCTGCCAAGATCTCAACGGAAGACTGGGGGGGGGGGGGGGGGTAGGAAGGAGGCAGAACCCTTTTGCCCTCAGTGGTCGTGAAATACCAAGAACAGCTTCCTGCAGGCGGGGAAGGCAGGAACAGGAAGCGGTGGTTGTGATTACCTCGGGACTGCGCAGCCCCAAGGATTCTGAGTAGAGTGTACAGCCAGTCTGGGAAGGGCGCTCCCAGGAATAGGCACTGAGTGAGGCACCAAAGCAGGAAGCCGTTCCACAGCACCGAGATGACGTAGAAGTGAGAGAAGTACCTGCAAGGGGAACACAAGGTAGGCCATTGTCAGGACAGAGCCCCTTTATTACATTACACAGAAAGACTATTCATTTAAAAATATATATATTTTATTGATTCTTTTTTTTTTTTTTTTACAGAGAGGAAGAGAGAGGGATAGAGAGTTAGAAACATCGATGTGAGAGAATCATCGATCAGCTGCCTCCTGCACACCCCCCACTGGGGATGCACCCGCAACCAAGGTACATGCCCTTGACCGGAATCAAACCCGGGACGTTTCAGTCTGCAGGCCAACGCTCTATCCACTGAGCCAAACCAGTCCCGGCTCTAGTTACTCTTTTTAATAGAACCTGAATCCTACGGGTGTTGAGATCTCAAAACTTCCTTTCAAATGATGGGACCGGTTAATTCATAGGAAATCCGAGGCCTCCTGAGGTTAACAAGAATATGATTGACGACTGAGGTTCAGTTAGTAAGCTTGTTACAGAAAACTGGAGAAGACCAAGCAAGGCTTAAAGAGAGACGGAGTTACATTTATTACACACGAGTCCAGAGGAAAATGTCTCTCACATTCTGGGCCCCACCACGGAGAAACTTTCCCTATTTGTATGTTTTTACCTTCTTTGTCTCCCAAATACGGGGTGTTTCCATCCCCCTCTGCAAGTTCTTAAAGAGCCCCTATGTGCTGGGGCCTTGAGACTGCAACCAAAGGCCTGGCCTGGCGCCAGCACTGATAACTTCGTCCGGGGAAGGTTTAATGGCCTCTCTCAAGTGGGAATAGTCTTATTTTCCTTATTATTTAAACAAGAAAGCATTTACAGAAGCCCAATAGCAGGGCTAAAATTTCAAACAGCAGTTTTTATATAGGATGGATGCTTCAAGCTCTCTCATCTCTGGGTAACTGGATTGGGCTCAAGTTCCAAACTACTGGGTTCCAGGCCCTGGCAGAGAGAACCTGGACTGCGCTAAATGCAAGCAAATCTGTGAGATTTCTAAATCTGGAGCAAAGTTACGGCCATAGCCGTACAACTGTTACACAAGATTTACACAATTACAGGCACCCGGGGCTGTAAGAAACCTTAGAAGTCTTCCAATTCCAACCTTGTAAATTGTGCTGACCTAAATTACTTAAATGACAAATATTAACTCACAAAACTAGACACCAGCTCCTGAGGGTTAGTGCTCTCCTATAACTACAACGCTTATTTTGCATTCAACACAGTCACCGATGAAATACAAATATAACCACAAAAACCAATAAAAATGGCAATTAGCCATGTCAATTGGATGGGAAAGATGACGACAGTTTGCTGAAATGAAATCACCTAATATGGCACAGGGGCCTACCGGTCCAGTTGCTATATTTCTCTGTCCAAACCGATTCAGAATCATTCTGACTTTGCAAGATGCCTGGAGGTCATTTGGCCTTCCCTGGTTTTCAGTGCCTCATTGTATATATAGTAAGCCCCCTTCCCTCTTGTCTCATTGGACTGTGACAAAGTAAAATGACATGGAGTCAGGAGGATTAAGTATAAACCCAGGGACTCCTCTTCCAGATGATCCAGAATATTCTGTGCACCCAGACTATGCCCACAACCCTAACTAACAATGACCTAATATGATCATTCTACAGTAACCTTCTTAATTCTCCCAACTTCTGTTACAGATTCTGTATCACTGGATCTGCCCTCTTTGGGCCGTCCTCTTCCTAATCCGGGCCTTCTTCAGGCTCATGAGCTTAGTGTCTTTAAATGTTCACGCATCAGTGTTAATTTCAACCCCCCCCCCCCCCCCCCCCCCCCCCCCCCGCCGGCAACCCGGCAGGCCACTGGCCTTTGGTTGCCTTCCAGTGTTTTCCTTAAGACACACTTCCTGGTCATCTTCCTAATACATCAAGGTTGCAGGTTCAAGCTCTACTCAGGGCACATAAAAGAAGCAACCAATGAATGCATGAATGAGTGGAACAGAACATCCATGTTTTCCTCTCTTTATCTCTCACTCTTCCTCTTTCTCTCTAAAAATTTAAAAGAAAAAGAAAAAAGAAAGAAAGACACACTTCCTAGATGTGAGGCCAGGCCTGGTCTGAGGCAGGAGCAGAGCAGATGGCAGCAGCATCTGAAGGCGAGGGATCTGCTCCTGAAGAGCCGCTTTGCCTATTTCATTTTTTCACAAATATTTACCGAGCACTTAAAACATGCCAGGTACCGCTGCTGAAGCTGGGGACTCAGCAGGGCAAGATCAGACCAGGTCCCTGCCTGCCTTGACGATGTTTACCTTTCAGTGGCCAGTCCACAAATGAGCCTGTGGACATCCGGGCAATGCCGGGCGATGGCTCCGAGGGGAGGTCCCCTGGACAGGTGGTCAGGGATGGCTTCTCTCAGAGGCTTTTGGCTAGAATGAGTAACCCCTGTGAATGTGAGGGGGAAGAACTTTCTAGGCAGAGGAAATGACAACCATCCAGGCCCCGGGGAGCAGCGAAGGACACCTGTGTGGAGAGGGCTAGGTGGTGAGGGGGAAGGTGTGCATGCTACAAGGTCTTGTAAGGACCCTGACTTTTATTAGGGGTGTGTGTGTGTGTGTGTGTGTGTGTGGGGAATGAATTTGAGTAGAGTGACCTGAAGTAGTAATTTATGTTTTTAAAAATCCCTCTGGCTGACAGAAAAGTTCTGGAAACTGACAGTGGTGATGGTTGCACAAACATGTGAATGTATTTAAAGCCACGAAGGCATACACTCAACAAGGATTAAAATGGAAAATATTACATCATGTACATTTTACCATAATAAGAAAGAGCACGACGCTGAAAGTGGTTTGGCTCGGTGGATAAAGCGTCGGCCTGCGGACTGAAGGGTCCCGGGTTCGATTCCGGTCAAGGGCAGGTGCGTTGGTTGCGGGCATGTCCCAATGGGGGGGGTGTGTGTAGGAGGCAGCTGATGGATGTTTCTCTCTCATCGATGTTTCTAGCTCTCTATCCTTCTCCCTTCCTCTCTGTAAAAATAAAATAAAATAAAATAAAATAAAATAAAATAAAATAAAATATATTAAAAAAAAGAAAGAAAGAAAGAGCACGACTCATTCATTGCACTATTCTTTAAGTTTAGAAAACAAAAGAACGTCCCTCTGGAAACCAGCTAGAGAATAGTCTAGCCTGGGGGACACCGTTAGGGTGATTGCACTTCATCCTCACAACCATCCTATACAGTGTGCGCGGCTGATGAGAACACTACGGCTCAGGAGGGTTGAGGTCCTTAGCCACAGTCACACAGTGAGCGGCCGTGTTCGCTCAGACTCAGCCCTGATGGCTGGAGTTGCTGTACTCCTATTCATGCCGTTCCGACCAGCCTGGGCCCGCTCTCCTGGCCCTGCGTTACCCGTACCCATCTATGCCTTGTCTAAAGCCAAATAAATCACTAGAGCGTGTTTGGTATAAGCTGCTAAGCCACAACTTGCTGTGCCCTACTTATGCCATGGTGTTCCTGTTGCACGGGCAGCCTGGGGCTCTCGTGCCTGCATTTATACACTCGAGTGCTTGTTTTGCTTGCCTGGTTTCCCTCTAGAGAAAACATGTTCTACTTTGGGTAAGGTTGTATGTCTTGCTTTTTTTTTTTTTTTCTTTTTTTTTTTTTACTAGTAAAAGACCCAGCTCTAGCCTCTTGTTCCTCCCTTGGCACTTTGCTTCACGGAAGCACTGTATTCCTAGCCCTGGGGAACATGGGTCTGTATGGTAACCCAGGGCCTACCACTGAGCAACCACTCCCTCTGATTAAGCACATATTTTCAGGCTTATTATAAGCCAGGGACTGCTCTAGGCTCTGGGGATACAACAATGAACATGAGAGACGACAATTCCTGCCTCTATGGAGCTTATCCTCTCACACAAAGTAAATTTTACAGCATACCAGTAGGTGGTAATGATTACTGAACAGACTAAAGCCAGGAAGAGAAGAAAGGATACTAGGATGATAGAATGTATTTTTAAACAGGACAGGCAGGGTACACCTCATCGAAAAGGTATTTGGGCAGAATTATAGGAAGTGAGAGCATATACCATGTCGCTATTTGGGGGCAAAGCTTCCCAGTTAGAGCAAACAGGCAGTGCAAAGGCCCTGAGATAGAGAGAAAGGATTAGCAGAGAGGTCCATAAAACTGGATTGGAGCCACGGGGAGAGGGGGCGGGGGAGCGAGAAAAGGGGAGAGACTAGTAAGAAACAAAGTCAGTGAGGTGGTGGGGACAAGGGTCTTGGGCTGATCCTGTGAGTTGGAGGCCACAGAATGGTTTTGGGTTAGGAGACATGATCTGACTTCATACACATTTGCTGACTGCCAGCACTGAGACCAGGCCCAGAGAAGGGTTAAGGGATTGACTAAGAAAGGAAACTAATGTTCCTCTGGCTAAGGCCCTGGCTCTGGGGTAAGTGCTTTAATGTCATCTCCACCTACATGATAAGCAGGAGCTGTTTTGCTGACACTCCAATCCATACACCACCTCTGACTGAACCCTATAATAATACCCTCTTAAGCAGTCTTTCCCTCACAAGAGCTAGTCATCCTTTCGAAACATAGATCACTTCTGGGAATACGTCTGAAGAAACTGGAAACACCAATTCAAAAGAATATATGTACCCCGATGTTCGTAGCAGCGTTATTTACAATAAACAAGACATGGAAGCAGCCCAAGTTTCCATCAGTAGATGAGTGGATAAAAAACAAACAGTGGTACATTTACACAATGAAATATTTTACTACCCGGTGGTAAAAAAAAAAAAAAGAAAGAAAAAAAAAGAAGGAAATCTTAACCTTTTGCGACAGCAGGGATGGATTTGGAGAGTATTATGCTGGTGAAATAAGCCAGTCAGAGAAAGACAAGCACAGTATCACATGATTTCACTCAAATGTGGAATCTAATGAACAAAATATACAAACACAAAATAGAAACAGACTCATAGAGGCATAGAACAGACTGACAGCTGTCTGAGGGGAGAGGGTTTAGGGGACTGGGTGAGAAAGGTGACAGGATTAAGAAAAAACAAACATGGTGACAGGATTAAGAAAAAACAAACATAAGTCACACAAGGCCACACTGCTTCCTCACCCTAAAGCCATAAGCAGCTTTGGGTACTCTCGGAATCAAAGCTAATCTTAGCGGAGGCCTGTAAGGCTCTGCTGAGCAGTGAACTCACCTCCTGCCCCACCCCTCCCCATCATTCTTCCAGCTTTGCCACTGCCGCCCAGCCAGTCCAGCTCTGGATTAAGTAACCCTGCTGGATTCCTCTGGAGCTCTTATTAACACCTGAGATTATGTTGCTTGTTTTACAAGATTCGTTTATATATTTACCATATGTCTTACAAGAACAAAAGCTCCAAGGAGCCTAGAGTAGCTCCTGGCATACAGTAATTCTCTATAAATAGTAGTCAAAAATGAATGAGAGAAGAAATCTCTCTCATCTAAAGTAACTCTCAGAGCAAGCACCCAAGTTAACTAATAATCTGATTCAACCTAAAACCTTAAAAAAAAAAAATCTTTCAGCCTAAACTGGTTTGGCTCAGTGGATAGAGCGTTGGCTTGGGGACTGACGGGTCTGGCTTCGATTCCGGTCAAGGGCATGTACCTTGGTTGCGGGCACATCCCCAGTGGGGGGTGTGCAAGAGGCAGCTGATAGATGTTTCTCTCTTGTGGATGTTTCTAACTCTCTATCCCTCTCCCTTCTTCTCTGTAAAAAAATCAATAAAATATATTTTTAAAAAATCTTTCAAAGATATTGATCAAGGACCTTATTATTTCTCAGGCATTGAACTAGGGATATGGTTACAAGCAAGACAAATTTAACGCATGGAAAGTGTAGAGTTTATATTTCTTCCATGAACGGATTCCTTTGGCAATATGATGAAGGCTAGAGGCCCCTTTCAAAATGTTATGACAAGCATAAAAAACGTGGGTTACAAAGAAAACCAAATGTACGGAAATATAGGTAACACAACTAACTAATAAGTCTTTGATATAGAAATAATTGTGTTTCTTAACTAATGTAAAAAATAACAAGATCTAGTGGGAAATAACTATGGTATCCTTGCAGTGATGAGAATAATGTTTTGAGGCCTCCAATATTTTATTTATTTATTTTTATTGATTGATTGGTTGATTATGGTATCACATAATTGTCCTCATCCCCCCATTCCCATCCCAAACCCCTCCCTACATATGCCTCCACCCCACCTGTTGTCCATGGAGGCCTCCAATATTTTTAATGTAATATAAAAAACTCCTATACCTCTACCATCTAGAAATGTTTGGCTGACGCTTACCAGCTATGTCCTGCATTCAAAGTAAAAAAGAAAAACAAACCCCAAACCAAAAAAATCAAACTATAACTCTTGCAATGTCTGAAAGAATTCTATTTAAGTCATCTAACACTGTCCTCTTTAATTGATTTTGGCTAGGAAACCTATGAAAAGCCAAATGGAGCCTCGGCATCGGGCTTGCCCACCCAACACGCACCATCACAGACAGTGGTCTCCAGGGGCACCTGCCCAGGGGCGGGGTGGGAGGGTCAGTGCCGCGGGGGCAGGTGGCGCCCGGCCTGGGGCCTGGGGACCAGCATCTCGCCCTTCCTCCAGGCTACCAGGGGGGAGGGCAGGGGAGGCAATGGAAACCGAGGCGCAAAGGGCGGGCCTGCCTTCCTTTCTGGTGAGTTCTGGGGACCTCAAGTAGACTGTAAGCCCCTACACTGAGTGCAGGGGAGAGGGAAGAAGAGAATTTGGAGGCAAAGGAGACTTTAATTTGCCTCTTAGCGACCAGGCCTAACTTCAGAAGCAGTGCCATTGATTGATTTCTCCCAAGGGAAGGGCTCCGTGCGGTCACCAGTGCACCTTCCTGCGCCCCTGGGAGGGCACGTGGCTCAGCTCCCCGGGGTCGGCGGGCATTCGGGACGTGTCGCCCCCCAGGATCCCCGAAGCGAGCCACCTGGGGGACCCGGCGAAGGTGCGGGTGGGAGAGCCAGCCCCGGCCGCCCCGCCCCGCGCCCGCCTCTGCTGCCCCCTGCCGGCGGCGCGAGCCGGGCGCCCCGGGCCCGCGCCTGGGCCGCCCGGGCTCAGCCGGGGCGCCGTTACCTCTTGGGGACCTCGAAGCGGCGGCAGAGGGCCGGGCGCGGCGGCGCGGCCCCCCGGGTCTTCCCGTAGCGGAGCAGGTCCTGGAAGAGCGCGCAGCCGGGCAGCAGGCGGGGCGGCGCGAGCTGCAGCAGCAGGGCCAGCAGGAAGGCGGCGGCCAGCGCCAGCCACACCACGCGCAGGGGGTTCAGCATCCAGAGCGCCGCCCCGGCCCAGGGAGCCATGGCCGGGCCTCCGCGCTCCCGGCCGCCGCGGCCAGCGGGCGCGCCCCCGGCCTCGCGCGAGCCGGGCCGGGCGGGACTTGGTGACGCGGCGCGGCGGGCGCGCGCATGGATCCTCCCGGACCCGCCTGCGCGCGCGGGATCCGGGACCTGTCCCTCCTCTGACCCAGGGATTCCCAATGCAGCGATTCAAAGAAGCGAAACCAACTAGGCCTGCACGTCTTCTTCACCTCTTTATTTTCACTGGGAAACATAGAAACAAGCCAGTGCCAGTGAAATGGGACCCGCGCCAGTCTGTGTGGAAGGAATAAAGAAAGACACATCAAAGTCTCAGGCATTAAAAAAAAAAAAAAAAAAAGCCCAAATAGGTTTGGCTCAGTGGATAGAGCATCGTCTGCGGACGGAAAGGTCCCAGGTTCGATTCTGGTCACAGAGCATGTACCTTGGTGGTGGGCACATCCCTGGTGGGGGATGTGCAGGAGTCAGCTGGTCGATGTATCTCTCTCATCGATGTTGCTGGCTCTCTATCCCTTCCTCTCTGTGAATAAATAAATAAATAAATAATGACAGGCCCTAAGGCAGGGCCATGGTATTCTTCAACCTGCTAAGCATGCCCCTGCCTTATATATATATCTCAGGCATTACCCATCCGAAAAATAAAAATCTATACTTCAATGAGATGCAACTTCACAGCCGGTAGGATGGCTATATCGTCAAGAACAAGTGTTGCGAAGAAATCAGAACCTTCCTATATCTTTGGTGGGAATATAAAATGGAGCATCCACCTTGAAAAAAATAAGAATTTGCTCAGAAAGCTAAACCTACCGGTGCCATTTAATGATTTCACTCCCAGGTATATATAATCACAAGAGTTGAAAACATAGGTTTGAAGAAAAGCTTGACCATGGATGGTCATAGCAGCATTATTCAAAATAGCCAGAGGTGCATACAATCCAAATGTCTATAATCAATATGTGGTATATCCTCGCCATGGGAAATATTTGGCCATAAGAGGGAATGGCGGACTGATGCCTGCGGCAGTATGGATGAATCTTGAGAACAGAACAAGTAAAAGAAAGCAGCCATAAGAGACCATATAACAACACGTTGGGATTTGAAGGGGGTAATTTAGACTCCCCTCTTTCTCTCCTAGTGCCCAAAATGGCCATCTTATGTAGAACTTCAGACCTATCCTCTGGGAAAAGCTAGAGCCCAGAGTCTGCTGAGCCTCCCAGTCTCAGTTTTGTTTCCCAAATTCATTGATCAGGTGAGTCATTCTCTCTCCCGCAGGGAGGAGTGAGTGCTGGGGAAAAGATGCCAGATATGGCCCTTCCATTTTTTTTTTTTTTTTAAATCTTGGTAATCCCTCCAAACATTGATTGGCACTAAATAATGTCTCTATTCACTAATTTACCAAATGCTTATTGAACACCCACCATAGGCAAAGTATATAGTGAGGACTATATATATAGACGGGGTTGGATGGCTTCAGAGAACAAATGTTTTGGTTGGGGGTTGACAACGCTAAGCAGCTGAGCAGTTAAACCACAATCAGCCGCTTTCCGTGTTGTGTAAAATATTCCAACTCTGATCCAGAACTCCTTTTGGCTCCATTTCCACTGACTTCTCTGGTGATCTCATGTCTCAAGGACTGAAATAAGGATGCCAACCTCAACCTTTCCCTTGAACTCTGTCCTAATCTAATTTTTCAAGAATGAATATTTTAAAACATCTTAAATTCATCTCTGAAAGAAATCTCAGATTTTCCCTTCAGCCAAATCTACTCATGTCTCAATTTCTCCAGGAACGGATATCTCCATTGCTCAAAACACTTGAAGTCTTCCCAGACACTGCTTCTCACCCACCTGCAAATCCTGCTAGTTTTACCTTCAAAATATGTCTAAATTTGATACCATTTTATTATCTCCAACATACCATCGTGGTCCAAGTCACCATGACCTGCCTTGATTATTATAATAACCTTCTAACTCCAGCTTCTGCCTTGGTCCCTACGGTCTATTTCCAACACAGCAGCTAGAGTGATTCCTTCCAAAGGAGAACTCAGATCATGTCACGTCCCTGCCAAACCCTCTAGTGGCTTTTCCTTGTACTGAAAGGCACATTTGAAGTTGTACATGGTCCTATCTGGTCTGGCCCCTCTATCTCTCTGACTTCATCTCCTACTCTTGCCTGTGTTCACTCCTCACACGCACACTGGCCTCCGTGGTGTTCTTCAACCTGCTAAGCATGGCCCTGCCTTAGGGCCTGTGTACTTTTTAAAATTATATATATTTTATTGATTTTTTTACAGAGAGGAATGGAGAGTGATAGAAAGTTAGAAACATCGATGAGAAAGAAACATAGATCAGCTGCCTCCTGCACACCCCGTACTGGGGATGTACCCACTACCAAGGTACATGCCTTTGATCAGAATCGAACCCCGGACCCTCCAGTCCCCTGGCTGACGCTCTGTCCACTGAGCCAAACCGGCTAGGCCGGGCCTGTGTACTTTTGTTCCATTTGACCAGGCAGCCCTCTCCCAGATATATGCATGGCCTTCTTCCTTGTTTTATTTTCAGGTTCCCACTCAAAATTAAGAGAGACCACCCTATGTAAAATAGTCTTGCCTTCTTTTGCATTTCCTTCCTTGATATCCTCCGCATCACTCAGCAGAACCGGATGTACCATATATTTCATCATTTATGTGTTTATTGTATGTTTCTTCCATGAGAATAAATGTGGCAGGAGGGCAGGGATTGGTTTATTGTTATTGTTTTTCTCGTACCTTTGTCAGTGCCTGGCATATAGGTGCTCAACACCTACATGAGTCATTCCATGTCTATTTAAGATATCAGTAGAAGAGATGTTGTAAGGCAGTTCATAATGTCATTGCCAAATTAGTGAAATGTAAGTTAATATTCTGGCCTATTATTTTTATTATTACCATTCTAATAATTATGTGCAACAGTCATTGTTCATTATTACGTATGACAAGCAGGATTGATGTCCTATTATTTTATTTAGGTTAATAACAAAACCTGAAATGAGTAATGGATAAAACATGAGGAAATAGGACAATTGAAAGGAAGAGAGTGGGAGTTAAACTTTCCTTCCTATATGACTTACATCATTTAAAATAACTCCAATAATGTGCTTCCTAGTCTACTTAGTATATTCAATTCATGTAACACAGAAATTCATTTCCTATGTTAAAGCTACATTTATCAGTTGGCACACAAAAAATGATTTTTTTTTTTTATGAGAGAAAATATTTGGGCCATATGTACAGTGTACTGGAAATTGATTAGGCTTGATTAATCTGCTAAAAATGAGTGAAACTATTTTTAACAACCTGCGCTCCTTGGAATTACTTGTCAATATTAATTTACCTGGAACCTCCACTTTCTATATGATGGATTTTATTTTCATGAGCAAAATTATTATCTATTTGAATGTTTTCTTAATAATGTGCTTAATTCCAAAGAAATTTTAACAGTAAAGCCGTACTAATTTTAGCTATAGTTAAATCCTTAAGTGTTTTCCTGGATTTCTTTACATTGTTACCACACAATGTAAAGGAGGGGACATTTCCCAAGGTTTAAAACCTAATCTATGGAAACTAATCTGTGCGTCCAGCACACTATTCAAAGCCTTCTCTGTGCTGAACACATTGTGAGGAGCTGGACATTCAAAGAATGAATCAGACCCACCCACAAGGAGCTGAGTTACAAAACTGAAATTCCTTCTTTCACCTTCTTACTAATCCTAAAGGAATTAGTCTCTAACTTGTTTTTACTGACTCAGCAATTGACACATTACTGATTCCAGGAATCAACCCCCCCCCCCCTTTTTTTTAAACCACCAAGGAGGTTATTTGTAGGAATAGTTTAGAAAGCACGGTTTTTCTCCATTCTTGTGGAGTAACTTGGTTGCACAGTGCTAAGGAATACCCTAGAATTCTGCATCCCCGAGGACACTATTTCCTTATCTGTTTACAATAATATGTTTTGTTTCCGTGCTAGTGAAGCAGCAGTCTGTTTTATTTTTACTCCACGAGATGGAAGGGTCTGCAGTAGAGGGTGGGGTGTGTGGACCACTGGGGAATCAGGCTTCAGGGCAGCCAACTAGATAACCACGAACAAGCCAAGCTACCACTCTGGGCCTCAGTCTATTCATTTGTTAAATGAGGCGGATGGATGACACAGCAAATCTCAAACTTAATATACATATCAGTCACCTGGGGATTTTATTAAAATGCAGATTCCTGTTCAGTAGGTTGGGGATGGGGCCTGAGATTCTGCATTTCTAACAAACTCTTAGGTGGTGAATGCAATCCAGGCTGCTGGTCCATGGCCCACGTGAGTGACAAGGGTGAGATCAGCATTGCCCAATAGAAAGGTAATATGAGCTGAAACCGGTTTGGTTCAGTGGATAGAGCGTCAGCCTATGGACTGAAAGGTCCTGGGTTCGATTCTGGTCAAGGGCATGTACCTTTGTTGCGGGCACATCTCTAGTAGTGGGTGTGCAAGAGGCAGCTGATCGCTGATTGATGATTCTCTCTCATCCATGTTTCTAATTCTCTATTCCTCTTCCTTCTTTTCTGTTAAAAAAAAAAAGTCAATAAGATATATATTTTTTTAAAAAAGAAAGGTAATATGAGCTGCAAATGTAATCTTAAATTTCCAAAAGCCATATTGAAAAGATCAAGATAAAAAGTTAAAATTAATTGGGATAATATATTTTATGTAATTTCATAATAGAAATATTATTTTAATATGTCATCAATGTAAAAATTATGAATAAGATATTTTACATTATTTTTTCATAATAGGCCTTTGAAATCTGGTCTGTTTTACACTTGTCACACATCTACATGTGGACTAGCCACATTTCAAATACTCAGCAGCCACATGTGTGCTACCTACCACTTATACAGCTCATTTCAGTGCTACTAACATTCTCCAATTCATAGCTTACATTGTAAATAGACTCCTGCCTCCAGG